TTCTTTTTCTTAACCCAATAAAGCGAGGATAACTTGTTTGTCCACACAGGACAACAGCGCACATTAATTGTCCTTTGGTAGTTGGTTCAAATCAAATCAACCGCGATTCGGTTCAACTTAATCAATCGCTATTCGGTTCTCCTTTTAACTCAACTGTTACTCAAATCCAAAATAACCTTGTCCAACTCAACACACCTCAATCGACTCCCCGCAAACAACACGAAAGGTAAATTAACCTTGGTCGAAATACTGGTGGTATTTGGAACTCATAGACATCACCTCCAACAAATCAACGAATTTCACGACAAGGGCTGGTTGTTACAGCTACTTTCAGGAGCTCACTAAATCATGTATATTTGACGCCGCAAGTTATAATTGAAAGGAAATTCTCCAAAATGCTAAAAGAATCAACTTTTGTTTAAAACTGAAGACAGGATTCGTGATAAACATGTACTCACATGGATTGATTTCATCTCATGAGGTTTCTCAAGAGCAGCTCGCACCGCATCTGATATGGTATCCCAAGCATTCAGTTCCTTCAAAACACTAACTAGACATGCTTATCTGGAGAAACTATCACAGTCGGACGGCTGGATGTGCTATTTGCGCCAATTTGCCAACCTTCAATCATGAAAGTGCTTTCCGCACAATATTCACCTGATTAATATTAGCTTCTCGCGAAGTCATTGCATTTATAGTTTTTCGTTCATCATCGGTGAAATAGAAGAAATTGGAGATGGAGAAGCGCTGAACCACCACCTAAACTAATATTTGAAATTTCAAAATCCATGAAAAGCTTAAATAACTGCCCAGAATTTTAAAAGATTCAACAATTATTCATTTATGACGATAAAATTTCTAAAGAAACTAAATCTTTAATTCGTGAAGTTTTATTAACCATATGCTTTATTCACATTCTTTTTCTTACGAGCGATCTACTGATGTTTTGATATTAACACAATAAAAGAAAAATCTGAGATCAATACAAGAAAGATATCGTTTGATGTTTGCAACCTTTCGGCCATTTCTTCAACCAATTGATCATTATTGCACGCATCCTCATCCGGCAGGTTATTTGTTGCACCTTCCAGAAATTCCGTTCGTAAATTTATGTTCTTTCTGACAAATACCTAAGTTTTTTAGAATTAACAATAAATTAAACTAGCCTATCGAGGTGTTTCATCCACCTATTTGGCCCTCATTAAATTTGAGTAAAATCTCTCCAGAAATTGCAAATTTCATTTCAATTATTTGGCACTTGCTAAAATTAAATTCTATCAAAACATACAATTTTTGGAGCGTGCACCGTGGAACACTTGCAATACTTTCAATGATATGACCATCCAATGCATCCTCCGCACCACGCACCATATGCAAGGCAGCTTTACCAAAAGCGACTAAGTGAACGTTGTGGTTAACCCGATAAATCCGTTGTCCTACTTTAATACATCCATTTGTTAAGCAAAGAGTCTGAAAAATATTAATTCTTTGTTTTCTAAATTTCAAATTAAAAGAAATTAATATTACAGAGGACTGCCTTTTAATTTAGTATTAGACATAGAGAAGGTAACTTATCCAACTGCGACTTACGTCACGGACACGCTGCTATGGTTGTGCAGCATCAATAGCGGCTTGAAAAGCGTGAATACAAATATCTCGTAACTCATTCATTTATAAATAAATATAGAATTAAATGTTAAATTTATCAATTAGAAAATATAAATTCAAAAAGTACAGCATTTGCTCTTCCAGTATTTTTCAATGCGTATTCACATTAAAAAATAAATCAGAGGCAAATATTACATGTAAAAGAAACATGTCTTATTTAAATTACTGTCATACAGCGAGCTTAATTCAAAGCATGATTCCTCCAGAACTCTGTTTATCGCACACGCATCTCTCTCGATAAGTTATATTATTCGAATTGTATAAGTGAAAATAGAACACACTGCAAAGACAGTCAGAAATAAATTGTGTTGAAAGCGAGAGAAATACAGCAATGCTTGGATAGAAAGTTAGCTTTGAAAATCTGTAAATAGTAACGAGCGGCGATTTTCTAATCGAGAAGACGACAAAAATTAACACTGAGATAAAATATGAATGCATTACAACAAAAGGGAACAGTTAGTAATTCCTTTTCTGAATTTGTCAATTTCGAAATTTTAGCGGAAAGTAATTAAGGAAGGAATGAAATGACAATTAAGGATTAAAGTCTTCGCCAAAAAGGTAAGATTCAAAAAAGAAATTGGAAAGCCGGATTTAACGGACCATCCATTCCGGGGGACTGTTGTCGATGGTCGGATTTCGGGATGTTTCGTTGGGACACAGCACTGTGAACAAGATAGTCTCAGATGTTTCTGTTCGGTTTACAGTTTCCTGAATGGATTCTTCTGACCATATGGTTTCGGTAAACTGACCTGTCAGATTTTCGAATTTCTTCGGCTATTTATTGACTGTTTAATAGTTGCCAAATATCTACACTACACAATCCGGATTTCAGCACGTTTAATGTAGACATCTGAAAGCTCTCGGAACGGTTCTAGTTTTGGATTAGGCTGAGGCAAAGGCTAACTAAAAGTATCCACCGCTTAAAGTGACGGACTGGTCAGAAAGGTGAACGGAAAGACAGATACACGGCTGTTAACTGTTGAAGTGCTATATAAAAGTTGATTTCGATAGGTAAGTATAGGATACAAATGATCGGAATTCTTTTAACGTGATTTATATAAATTATTGCCTCATCTAAGTTGCTTATATTATACATTTGGTTTCAGCTTTAAAGTGGCCTACATCAATTACTCAGAATTCGGTAGCTGTGGAAGCTTTAGTTGGATTTGATCTGAGAAATGTCGAAAAGCAGTGATCAGATTGTGCTAGAAAGACGGCTCAAACCGATATATGGTATGCTTGATTTGTATCACTTCTAATATAGCCATAGTAAATTTTTCGAAATAATTTTTTAAGTTTCGAAAATTTTTATGACGAAAATTTATTCGTTTTAATTTATATTTCATAGAATTTAATTTATATTTCAATAGTTATTTCACTATTTCGTTTTAATAAAATGTACACGATTCAGATGCAATTGATGCAGGCAGTAACAAAAAAGCAATGCAGGAAGCAGACAAAGTCTTGAAGAAACATCCCTCCACTCATTGTGCTAAGGTATCGGTTGTTTGATAAACTGTAATTGGTTGGTTCGTCGGAATTATGCGCACGTAACGCATGTATTAGATTGTATTCAGACAAAAAAAAACATTTATTCATCATAGAACTGTAAATGCAGTGAGGTAAAATATCAAATGGAAGCTACCAATTCATTACCGATCATACGGCAGTATTGATGATTATTTACTGTTGTAATTATTTCATAAAGTATTTCCTTTCCACTTTGCTTTTCTAATCAAATGCAAATTTTATGCAAAAGACTAATATGAGATTTCTATGCATATGTTGATTTTTCAAATATATATAACTTTTTCAGGTTTTAAAAGCACTGGCTTTGATTCGTGCTGATCGTGTAAGTGAAGCATGGCCATTGATCGACGAAGTTGAGTCAGTGAAAGATGATTTTGATGAAAATACTCTCCAAGCTTTATGTCACTGTTTTAAGGTTTTAGCTAAGCTTATTTCTTATCATCATTATCGAAAATTATTTTTTCTTCCATTGATCGGAAGTTTAGAAAGGATATTTTATCTAGGATAATTCATTTTCTTTCACTTAAAAATACTTTTTAGTGATTTTAATCGCTCTCATACTTCAGGAAGCTTATACACCTGAAAGGATATCTGTATTATATGAAAAGATCTGTGCTCGTTATCCCAAGAATGAACAGTATTTGACTCATTTATTTATGAGTTATGTTCGTGTACGAAATTACAAGCAGCAACAGAAGACAGCTTTGGCATTGTACAAGGAATTTCAGCGAAATCCGTATTATTTTTGGAATGTTATGAGTATCGTCATGCAAGTAATTATTTTTCCATTTTATTTCTTTACTATTGAAAGCAGTTCTTTACTAATTGTTTTTCACGGTATCTATTTAATCATCACAGTTTGAGTCAAATTTGTTTGGTAATTGAAACTAGAATTTTCCAGTATTCTATATTTCAAAAAGTTCTCTTTAGTAATTGATTTTACTTGTTTAGAGTTAGGAACATTTTAAAATAATTTATTTTTCAGTGATTTACAAACCTTGCTTTTCCAGTGAAGCTTCAATAATTTCAATTAATAATAACTGCAGGCAATTACTGGGGATCAAAACCTGGCTCAGTCAACACTATATCCGCTAGCCGAAAAAATGGTTACAAAAATGATCAAATCCAATTTAATACAAGCTGAGGCTGGTTTGTATTGCCACATTTCTGATGTTAACTTATTTTCGTAAATTATAAGTTAGGATAGGGTAGTTTGAATTGCCTTAATCATTTAATTCAAATTGTTGTCTTTTTTAAACTTGAGATAGTAATGTAATTCTAGAGGAGATTATATTCTTTTAAATTTCAGAATGTGATTTATATGTACTTATCCTAGAAAATTCAGGACAGT